AATTATTTACTCGGTGACGGGTGAACAATTGCGACGATAATTTCGTCATGGAGTAAAGAAGAAGTATCTTATTGGGAAAGCAGTCTTCTCAAGCAGGCCAAGGCTATACTTTTCGAGCAGCCATGCTCTTTTCGCCCTTTCCAGCTACAATTTAATTTGTTTTGACATTTCATACGGTATCACAGACAACGCAGTCGTTTTCTTCGTTATAATATAGCATTACGATATCGATTAAAATAATAATTATTTCGATCTTATGTAATAATCCCTCCCTATAATAATTTATAAAATATAATTTTATATTTCCTTTTTCCCATCTTGATCCACAATTTCAATATATAAAAAAAGAATATAAAATATAAACTTAAATTATTCTTTGTCAGTCTAAATACAGATTGAAATTAAAACTATATAAAATAATTATTTATAGAGAATTTTTTGTATTACTATGAATAATTAATTTGTTATACACATCTTGTCACATAGCTCTTCTCTACAAATGTTTTCTTTACAAACAAGAATAAAATATATATAAAATATTGCAAATAAAACGATTAGCCATTCAAACAGAAGCCAAAGAACAATGTGACAGAGAAAAAGCGTAAGAAAAAAGGGGAAGAAGAGAGAAAAAAGCAGACAAGAATATTGTTAATCGCATATAATACGCGTGATGGATGTGAACTGCTCCCAGTGGCAGTAATTTGCGTCTTTTTCCTGTCTTCTCTGCTGTTTCCTCTCGGCATCGCTCCTCTGCCTCACCTGCCTCGATTCATCTGTTAGCTTATGTAATGCTTGTGCAATAATCACTAACGTTTAAGCAATTGATTGCCTGCGGCAGTACCATGACAGTCCCATTATGATGAATTAAAGGAAAGAAAAAAAAGAAAGATCACCAAGCACTGTTTTGTCCTTTCTCGGTCAACTTGTCGAGCTTGACATTGCCGAGGCAAGATTTATACCGTCGCGTTAATCTACCATATTTCCGCTTTGTATTTCTCATAAATTTTGTGATATCTTGCATGTACCAATCATATCACATACGTGACAATTTAAAAAATAAAGAAAATAGATATTCCATAAAATCATTTTATAATAAGGATCAAGAAAAAATTTAATTTAATGATTTAATTGATTAGTTATCCAAATAGAAAGTAATATAATAAAAAAAAAATTTTTAATCTCTTAAAAATCTTCCTTTTGTGTTAAGATCACAACGATATTCGGGCATTTAAAAAGATCAGTAGATATTGCATTTATCATTAAATTTTTTATATTAATAGTAGTCAACTATATCATTAAATAAATAAGCGTTATCAATAAAAAATCATCATTGGTTGAAATGTAACGACAGAGCATATATATGATAGAGCAATAACAGAGAGCATGCAAATATAATCATACTAAATATAGATTTTATAATGAAACACGAATATATATCATGAATAATAATCATGAATTCAATATAAAATACGCGAAACATGAATCAAGCATACACAATTATGCAATCTAAACGCAACTGTACCCTATCACTTTATACACTGATTTTATTACAAATGAAATCCGGTCAGGAGTTTATCGTTCTGTATTCTCGGAAAGGAGACACGTAAGAATATGTGGTGAAGGTCGTAAAAGCAAAAATGGAAAATCTAACAATGTTTACTGCAACAAATAGATGTACTCATAATGTTTATTGACCGGATTAATCAGAAATCGAGATCACAAGGAGCAGGGACGCGTTTATAAAATTTGCGCCCAGAGGCGTGTAATTTTCAAAACA